AGGATGCAGTATGTATGTTACGTAAACTATAGAAGAAACCTCAACCCCCCTCAACAAAAAAGGTTTACTTACTTTTTAGTTTTTTCTTTCAAAGGGAAACCTTAAAACACTATTTGAACGATGTTGTCCTTCATTCTAGTTCTAGATATAAAAGATTGCTCTCTGAATAATGTCAACAGCTGTAAATTACCAAAATTCCATAAGATCATTGGTTGGCTTCCATTTCCAGTCCCTCCCCCCCAACCACCACCTTCAAAAAAAGAAAAGAAAAAAGAAGTGATGGTTGGTCCACTTTAGCTTTCACTAATATGCTGTTGTTTTAGGATTTGGAGCAGAGAGACTACTGTTGACAACCTATGTGAATCAGTACCTTTTCATTTTGCATAGTGGTGAAAAAAACTGCGCGTATGCAATAGAAAAGTTAATATTGATCAAGATGGTTTTTGTATATGGAAAATTGTTTAGAGATGCTCATTCAATGTCTGAATATCGCGATTTCAGTCAACGTATTGGCCAAATTGAAATGTTTTAAATATGCATCACCTGACCCTCGTCAGATAAATTAGAATTGTAAGCTTCTGACTTTGTTAAGATTTTCTTCTCAAATATGACATTGGTTTCTTGTTTTGTATTTCAGACGCATGGTCTTGCAGAATATATAGCCCAGGTGAGATCGTGTTCATTCTCTTTTCCCTGTTCTAGTTTAGGCATTAATTCTGTGAGCATTTTGCATATACAGTTACTGAAATTAAAAATAAAGAGAAGAAGGAAGTTGCTTTCTTATTTTTGAGAGGAAAAATCAAATTCTCTATATAAATTAAATTAAAATTTATCATCATGTTATTGGTGTTTGCTGATGTAGGAAGAGATGGACAGGAAGAATGGATACTGGTGGTCAATGGACAGCAAATTCATTGCGTTCGCACAAGTTGACTCATCTGGGATACCACTTTTCAGAATTATGCACCAAGGTAAAAGTACAGTTGGTTCAGATGCACAGGAAGACCATGCTTATCCCTTTCCTGGGGCTTCAAATGTCAAAGTCCGCCTTGGAGTTGTTTCTGCTACTGGAGGCCCTGTAACTTGGATGGATCTTCTTTGTGGAGAGCAGGACGTAGGAAACAGTGAAGAGGAATATTTGGCAAGAGTTAATTGGATGCATGGAAATATTCTCACTGCTCAGGTTTTGAACCGGTCTCATTCTAGACTGAAGATCCTTAGGTTTGATGTCAAAACAGGCCAAAGAGAAGAAGTTATATTGGTAGAAGAACAAGATACATGGATCAATCTGCATGATTGCTTCAAACCTTTAGACAAAGGGCTCAATAAATTTTCTGGTGGTTTTATCTGGGCTAGTGAAAAAACAGGATTTAAACATCTGTATTTGTACGACACTAATGGGGCTTGCTTGGGACCTATAACTGAAGGTGATTGGATGGTTGAGCAAATTTCTGGCATCAATGAGGCTGCAGGACTTGTATACTTCACTGGAACCCTAGATGGCCCTTTGGAGTCTCACCTTTATTGTGCTAAACTGTTTCCAGATGGGAGCCGTCCCCTGGAAGCCCCAGTGAGATTGACTCAGGGCAAAGGAAGGCATTCGGTTGTGCTTGACCATCAGGTGCAGAGATTTGTTGATATTCTTGATTCCTTGGATTCTCCACCTAGAATTTCACTTTGCTCATTGCATGATGGAAGCTTAATTATGCCCATTTATGAGCAAGAACCAATCACCAGTACAAGAGTCGAAAGGCTTCAACTCAAGCCTCCTGAGATAGTTCAGATACAAGCAAATGATGGCACTACTTTATATGGTGCACTATATAAACCTGATGCAGCAAGGTTTGGACCTCCACCATACAAAACCATGGTCAATGTGTACGGCGGTCCAAGTGTACAGCTTGTCTCTGATTCTTGGGCGCCTACAGTTGATATGAGAGCTCAGTATCTCAGGAGCAAAGGCATCTTGGTATGGAAGGTCAGTATCCACCAAATGAACACCTTAGTTTCCATCTCTCATATATATCTAATTTAGTAGTTTAATTAGCTCTCTTTTTTACCCTTGGAACTTTCTGCCATATGCACCCTAATCATGTGAGTCTGAGACCACATAATTCTCTCAGCATTGTCCATTAAATCTCTTAGCATGTGATACTAATTGTGCTATCTATTGCCCAATTGTGCATCTGATACTGTAGATTTAGCTTCATTTCATTTCAATATTACATTTACCTGTATACTACCCGCCTAGCTGTATCTCCTGTACCTCCCAAAGGGGATGGTGAGGGTTTGAGTCCTGCTAGGGACAAATGGGTGTATGAGTTTCTTGCCAAAAAAAAAAAAAGAAAAGAAAAGAAAAGAATATTACATTTACCGGCATACTGTATACAGTTCAAAAGAAGGGGAAAAGAGTATATCATTCTGACTCCTATACCTTTTACAGCTGGATAACAGAGGATCTGATCGTCGTGGATTGAAGTTTAAAGGCTTCTGCAAATATAGTTTTGGCCTCCTTGATGCTGAGGATCAGCGGACTGGAGCTGAATGGCTCATCAAACAAGGCTTAGCAAAAGGTGGCCGTATTGGGGTGTACGGGTGGAGCTTTGGCGGATATCTATCCGCCATGGCGTTAGCCAGGTTTCCTGATGTCTTTAGTTGTGCTGTTTCTGGTGCTCCCGTCACATCATGGGACGGTTATGACACATTTTACACTGAGAAGTATATGGGATTGCCTTCTGACAATGAAGAAGGTTACCAGTTCGGGTCCGTGTTGAACCATGTGGACAAGATCAAAGGGAAATTGTTACTCGTGCATGGCATGATTGATGAAAATGTGCATTTTAGGCACACTGCTAGGCTTGTAAACGCGTTGGTGGAAGCTGGAAAGCCTTATGAGTTGTTGATCTTCCCCGATGAACGTCACATGCCTCGCAAGCTAAAGGACCGAAAATATATGGAAGAGAGGATTTGGGAGTTCATAGAGAGAAATCTGTGAATGACCGACCATTTGCTGCTCTTGTCTATTTAGATCATCTCTGTTGTTGTTACAGTATTATTTTTGTTAGGTTGATGGAGATTTTGGGGCTCATATTTGTTCGAGTATTAAATTATTCCTTTCCATAAAGAGAGAAGTGCAATGTTTTACTTGTAGTTAAGCGACTGTTATTCATAAGAGAGGAATTTTCCTTGTACCATGAAATCTCCCCCAATGTACTAGAAATATTTTGTAACTGAGTTTATGCATTGGATGTTATGTCTCAAACCTCTCGTTAACCCTAGAATTTTCAACTGAATTCTTTTTTATCTCTATAGGATTCATTTCACACTCATTTTTTTTTAACGATGTAAATACACCTTAGTCTTGAATTCATGAGATTTATTAAAAGGTAAGAGTACATAAACTTATCACCTCCCTTCTTAGTATTGTAACATAGTCTTGAATTCATGAGATTTATTAAAAGGTAAGAGTACATAAACTTATCACCTCCCTTCTTAGTATTGTAACATACATTTATTATAGATTACGGAGTATTATTTTGTAAAAAAATTTAAGTCCACAGTCCATACTGACCGGTTTTACCGGGCTCCCTAATTGTTTTAAAGTTCATATGAGAGACAAAATTTAATATAATTTGTCAATGAGACTCGAATTTAATACTATTTTGGATTGACTTTAATTATGTTCATGATCTATTTAGATTGACCTTAATTATGTTCATGGCGTATTCTTTTTAATCATGACATTCAAATTTAGAAACTCAACGCCTTTTAATCGTGTCAAGTTATACAGTCTTATATATGGAATGGTTTCCAACTTATTTAACAAGTTACCAAAATATATAAATCAATATGTGTTATATATATATATGTGGGATCCACAACTGTGGCATATGGAAGAAGTCTGTACGAGGCTTGTTTGTGTATACTGAAAGCCATCATAAGGCTTGCATGGGAAGCCACGAATTGAATGCCTATAAATAGGCATCATCTGTATGAATTGTGTGCGCGCAATAAAAAGAAAGGCAGCTCTCTCTCTCTCACTCTCTCTTGTTCTCTCTCTATCTGTGTGTGTGTGTGTTAGACTTTCTCTCATTAATATTACTCTATATACACACACATATATATTTATTACACGTTATCAGCACGAGATTCTGTCAACTGAGAAGAGACCTGTAGTCCAGACACCTGAAGATGTCATGCCTGTAGGATACAAATGGGTATTTGTAAGGAAATATAATGAGAAAAATGAAATTGTAAGATACAAAGCCCGACTTGTAGCCCAAAGTTTCTCGCACAGACCTGGTATTGATTATGAGGAGACATACTCTCCTGTGATGGATGCAATCACATTTCGCTTCTTGATCAATTTGACAGTCTCAGAAGGACTGAATATGCATTTGATGGACGTGGTTATAGCTTATGGATCACTAGATAGTGACATATATATGAAACTCCCTGAAGGATTTAAAATGCCTGAAGCAAATAGCTTGAAACCACGTACCATGTATTCGATTAAGCTACAACGATCCTTGTACGGATTGAAACAATCCGGACGCATGAGGTATAATCGACTTAGCGAGTATTTACTAAAAAAAGGATATGTGAATAATCAAGTTTGTCCATGCATTTTCATCAAGAAATCAAACTCTGGATTTGCCATTATAGCTGTATATGTTGACGATCTAAATCTTGTGGGAACTCCTGAAGAGCTCACCACGACTGCTAATTATTTAAAGAAAGAATTCGAAATGAAAGATCTTGGTAGAACAAAATTTTGTCTCGGCCTGCAGATCGAACATTTACCAAGTGGAATTCTTGCTTATCAGTTAACATACACTGAAAAAGTCCTGAAGCGCTTTTACATGGATAAAGCTCACCCCTTGAGTTCTCTAATGATTGTCCGATCACTCGATGTGAAGAAAGATCATTTTCGTCCTCTAGAAGAAGGCAAATAAGTTCTTGGTCCTGAAGTACCATATCTTAGTGCAATAGGTGCTTTAATGTACCTTACAAATTGTACCAGACCTGATATAGCATTTGCCGTCAACTTACTAGCACGGTATAGTTCTGCACCAACTCGAAGACATTGGAATGGAGTCAAGCACATTATGCGTTACCTTCGAGGAACGACTGATATAGGGTTGTTTTATTTAAGAAAATCAAAGCCCCAGTTGATTGGATATGCAGATGCAGGTTATCTTTCTGACCCTCACACAGCCCGATCACAAACAGGGTACTTGTTTACTTGTGGTGGTACTGCTATATCATGGCGATCTATGAAACAGACCATGACTGCAACTTCCTCAAATCACTCTGAGATACTCGCAATTCATGAAGCAGGTAAGAGGAGGATACATAAAAAGTGACAGAACCAAGCACATTTCACCAAAATTCTTTTCCACACACGAGCTCCAGAAGAGCCGTGATATCGATGTTCGGCAGATACGCTCTAGTGATAATCTAGCAGATTTATTCACTAAAGCGCTTCCAACTACAACATTCAAGAAGTTAGTGGACAACATTGGAATGCGTCAACTAAAGGATCTTCAGGATTGAACTAATCAGGGGGAGCAATTGATCAAAGAGGTATTAGCATACTGTACTCTTTTTCCTTCGTCCAGGTTTTATCCCACTGGGTTTTCCTGGCAAGGTTTTAATGAGGCAGTTTTAATCTATGCAATACCATTTCAGATACACAAGAATACTGTACTCTTTTTCCTTCACTAGGGTTTTGTCTCACTGGGTTTTCCTTAGTAAGGTTTTAACGAGACATATTCTTAGTGTAGTTTTGTGGACCCCACGGGGGAGTGTTATATATATATGTGGGATCCACAACTTGTGGCATATGGAAGAAGCCTGTACGAGGCTTGTTTGTGTATACTGAAAGCCATTAGAAGGCTTGCATGGGAAGCCACGAATTGAATGCCTATAAATAGGCATCATCTGTATAAATTGTGTGTGCACAATAAAAAGAAAGGCAGCTCTCTCTCTCTCACTCTTTCTCGTTCTCTCTCTATCTCAGTGTGTGTGTGTTAGACTTTCTCTCATCAATATTACTCTATATACAAACACATATATATTTATTATAATATGATTATTTTTTGTCCATCATTTTATAATGTTATAAAATTCAAGTTAATTAATTATGTAACATATTAAGATAAAATGAAAGGTTTAGTTTTTTACTTATGGAAAATAATATAGTTGACATCTTTAATACCTGCTTAAAACTGATGTGTATAAAAATATGACGTGAATACACAATTTAATTATATATGAGAAATGATAGGTCTTCCGATTTGAATTGCCGACTCATCTTCTGAATACAACGTGGTTGGATCACATTGGAACTTTTAAAACTGTTGGAAACGGGGGCATTAAAAACATAAACTTTGGATGAGATTTGGAATAGATTCCGCTAAGAATTTTTTGCGGATCTCTAGACGAGCGTGTTTCTCTCCGCAAGGAGATGAACGTGGTATATTTACTTTCTTAAATCCGTTTCCGGGTGAATGATAAATTAGTTCCAAAGTATGGTGTTTTGATAAGCCTAAACGGGTATGCAAAATGTGGGAAGTGTTTGTCCCACATGGAAAAAATGATTAAACAAATTGAAATTTAAATAAGCTGAATTTAGGATTTAGGCTTGGGCTTGGGCTTGGGCCTAATTGTAAAGTCCAGATTATTCTTTTTTGGAATTTTGGATTGGGCCAAATTTTGGGCTAGGCTTATTTAAATGGGTTTCACAAATGGGTGGGTTTTTTTGGGTGGTTGGTTTTTTGGATTAAAAAAACTACTTTTTAGTTTGTAACCTTTTAAATAAAAAAAAAAACCATATTTTAGTTTTTCTAAAAGGTTATACCTTTTAAATTAAAAAACCATATTTTAGTTTTTCTAGAGGGTTATACCTTTTAAATTAAAAAACCACTTTTTAGTTTTTTTTCAAAGGGTTACACCTTTTTTCGAACCATCATTACCCATGGTTGCACCCACTCGAAAAGGTGCATTGCAACCTATTGGAATAGATGTGTCTAGTGGTGAACAGACACCATGTGAACCATTGCAACCTATTGCAATGGTTGTGTCCAATAATGAAGAGATACACCCAATCCGAAAAAGGCATTTCTGTTTTTATAAATACCCCCCTTTGGATCATTTGCAAGTGGTTCATTTTCATTTTCTTCTATCTCCCTCTCTAGACTTGAACCCAACCCATGTGGGTTCAAACCATAGGCTAAGTGGTCCGAGTCACTTAGATCTTAATCCAATTTCATCAAGCCATATTAAGATTGGTCCGAACCATTTGGTTCGGATTGCACCTAATTTCACATTTATATAGTATAGATGCATTTTTGAGTCAGAGAGAGTATTACACAGAGGAGGTTCGCCGTATCCACTAGTTTGTAGTGCTGCTACTGGTGGATATAGACCGTTGTATCCTGGGAGATAGACGTCATTGAGTCCGTTAGCACCATAGCGGGGTGAATCTGTCTTAAGTACATAGTATCTAATACTAGCATCGGTCTAGGTTCTTTATTTATTATTATTATTTTATTGTTTTAATTTGCATGTTTAATTAAATATCTAGTTGAATATTTAATTAATTATTTTTAACATATTACAAATATCTCATATCATATTAGTATAGGGTTAGTTATATCTTAAATGTCACGTGAAATATATATATTTACCAACAAAAACAAAACCCCGTAAATATCTCTTTCTTTTCGACTCATTTCCAACCACGTTGTATTCGGAGAATAAGTCGCCAGTTGAGGTCAAAAGACATATCACTTCTCATTATATATATAAGAGATGCAATCCCAAGTATCTCAAGAGTCCTTACAGAAATGTAATGTAATGTATATATAAAAAAAATATACATTTTTTTTTTTTTTTTTTGGTTTACTGACAAATATACAATTTAATATACATGTGATTGAAACTTTAATAGACAACAAATATACAATTTGATACATATAGTGATTGAAACTTTAATAGATAACAAATATATTAGATTAAGATGAAACCTAGAAAAGACCTAGGAAATTACAACTTTACAAATAAGCTAATTATCTTCTATTTTAAAAATGAGTTCCATTATATTAGACACATGGGTAGCCGCATAGACTCAGTGAAGCAGTATGTTTTTATTTATCGATAAGCATGACTCTTTTAGTATTTATGAATAGTGATATTTGTACTGACTTGTTATAATGAATTACTTAATTAAATATTTCTGATTAGTTATTTATCACAATACAAGTAACTGGATAACCCATTTCCTCATTTGATGCATAGAGCGACGAAATAAAAAAAATAGGTCTGAGAATGAGTGCAAGAATCAATTTTCTTTATTTATTACAATTTCAATCAATATTTTAATATTTTGGTTACATTTCCAAAAGAAAAATGGCTGAAATTGTGTTCAATCATCAGTGCAACATATATAGTAACCTGTGATCAAATTTAACGGCCACGCGCGTTTTGGACGCGAGTAACACAACACCACCTCAATTATTTATAATTTATTTTATTTCTACATATACTTTCTTAGTAATGTACTAAAAAATTTCTTTGTCACATCGAGAACTCATTTTTCATGCATTTCATTTCAATTTAATTTCCCAAATGTGGAAGAAAGAAGGAATCAAAGATCTGAACTTTCTCTCTCTAACCTCGCACGCACGAACGAACCAATTCGATTCCCGATTCGATTCTCGACCCACACTCACCAATCGCTGACACTTTGATTTCAGAGGAATCCGAATCTGATCTCTTTTTCATGGCCGATCAATTCATAATCTTTAACAGGTTTGGTTTTTGATTCACAATATATATACATATATATATATATATATATATGTACGTATATATACGCATATGTATCGTGTGCAATTGAATTGGTCATATGTTGATCTTGATTGGTAGTCCTGCTGGCGTAGTTCATATTCAACTTATCTGTGGACCTTCTTAGATGGTAATGTTTTTAAATGTTGATTTTACTGCTCTTTTACTCTGTTCGTTTGCCGAGAAAATGAAAGAAAATTAATAGAAAAGTAACAGAAACATATTGAATTCTGTGTCTCATACCGTCTTCGCCTTCAAAAGGAGGAAAAAAAAGAAAAGAAAAGGAAATCAAGCACCAAAATCCAAGTCAAACAGTAATATTAGGCTCAATTTATCAATAATTTTTTTCTTATTTATTTTCTTTTCTCGCTTATTTTATATAGGAGACTCATTTTTTTTTTTTTTTTTTAAGCTTAGATTTTTGTTGTTGTACCTCATTTTCTCAGCTACCTAACAGAGGCTTTGAATAGTTAACTGTTACAGTGTAGGTGATTTAAGTGGCACTTGATTAAAAAGTTCTAATTTTTTTTTAAGCAGATTCACGGTTTGTTGAGGGTTTGGTGCCTGGATTACTCAAATTTGGTCATTTATTTGTAATGCAATCCACTGAAACAAAGGAAAAGAAGAATTTGAAACGTTCAAGACCAAATCCTTGCGAGATGCCTGCAACTGATTCAACTGCTTCGGATGATAGGATTCTGTTTCCGATTGAAGAGATAGTGCAATATCCATTGCCCGGTTATTATGGGCCAACTTCGATCACTTTTAGTCCTGATGATAGTTTAATAACTTATTTGTTTAGTCCTAACCACACTTTGAATAGGAAGCTTTTTTCATTTGATCCTGAAACTGGTAAGGAAGAATTGTTTTTCAGTCCACCAGATGGTGGCCTCGATGAGAGTAATATATCAGCTGAAGAGAAGTTGAGGAGGGAGAGATTGAGGGAGCGTGGGTTGGGGGTGACGCGGTATGAATGGGCGAAGAGAAGTTCGAGCACAAAGACAATAATGGTGCCTTTGCCTGCTGGGGTTTGTTCTCTCTTCTCTGATGTTAATTATTGCTTTTAACACTTTGCTGTTCAATCATAATCATGTGTCATTCTTCCATTTTTGAATTGTTGTGATGTGACCTCTGAACATTTCTTTCCTGGTATGGTTTGTGGTTTGTGGTTTGTAAAATGCTTTTTATTACTAACATAGCATGTAAAGGGGAATGTTTTCATCTGTTTCACCTTGAAGATAATTGCACATTCTTAATATATATGAACATAAATACCATCTCTAGTTAATGGATAAAGTTGGTGTTGGAATTTGCTACTAGTAGGCTATGAAGCATGGACACGGATAGGGGATACGGACAAAACAAGTACGGATACAACAATACTACAAATTCATAAAAAAATGATACGGATACGACAAGGACGCGACAACATAAATATATGTACGTATATTATATTAATGTATATATGTAAATTACAAATTACATGTATGATGTTTCTATGTATAAATTTAAAATTAATAATTGTTCGTCATGTTATATATATTGCTACTAACTTTTCCTTACAGAAACTAATAACAAACAAGTTGAGAGAATCATTACATGGACATAAATGTTGGGCTAAATTAGCAATGATATATTCTAATTATATCTCAATATTTCTTTTTTCTTTTCTTTTTTTAAAAAAAATTAAGCTTCAAATAACAATTATACTATAATATTATGCTCGAGAACCTTGCATTTTAATCTTCAAGACTTCCTAAGCACATGTCATGAAGTATCTGAGAGTTTTGGGTTTGTAATCAAAGTATCTAAGAAATATCAAATACGTGGTTTTTTTTTTTTTTAATTTATTTTTTATTTTTCCCAGATCAAATTGATGTTGAATGCGTCTTCCAAATAAAATAATTTTTTTTGAATATGGATAAGTTTAGAAAAGTATTGGATACATATTTGCGAGTATTAGACATGACATGAACAAGTATGGTATGTGCTTCATAGCTTGTAGTGGTAGGCAACTAGACAACTTCTAATAGGCATCTTGCATGAGGTCATTTTAGACATGAACAAGCTTAAAGTTATGTAACAGTTGGAATTGGGTAATGTAGAATGTGCACAAGTCAATCAATTTCGGTAGGTGCTCCAAGATTTTTTTTCCGTATAGTTATTTCATTTAAATCATTGTATAGAAGCACAGTGCCAATAATTTTCTGAGTTTGAATGGTCAACAACAAATTTTCAATCATGATTGTGATCGACTGGGAATGATTGAAGAGGAAGTTGCCAACACAACTCAACTCAGTTCACCTATAAATTAGAGAAGGTTGGCACTTGGCATCTATGCAGAAACTCTTTCAAGCCTTTTCCCTCCTCTTCCCTTCTTTGAAGGAAAAGGAAATGATCTATTACCATTTGCATATGTACCTAGGATGGTAGGACATTAATCTTTCTTAAACAAAAGACCATTCTCTAGGTCAGTTCTTTAACTCCTGTCCCCATCCCAAAGAAGGAAATAAAATCTTTTCACCATGGGGACAATAACTGTTTTTGTCAAAAACTAAACTTTAACTATTGTTAGAGGCTTGGTTTGGTTATTAATTTAAACCAAACTGAATTGAAATATAACACAAAACTAATTTTTGAGTCGTGTCAGTAGAAAATTCTGAAGCTAATTACCTTGCCAAAAAACTTATTTTGGGTTGCTGGTACAGAATCCAGTTATTCAACTGTTTTCTTTGTAGTTCAAAAATTTTCACTCAGATTGTTGTGAGGACCTTTAGGTAGATTGTCAAATCCTTTTGAACAATGGACTTTTATTAAGAGCAGAAAACTTCTTATTATTTCCTTGTCTTTTGCTGGTTGAACAGTTTATCAAATTTTTTTTTTTAATGGCAAATAAATATACGTTGTATCTATTTTATGAATATCTTTTGTAGGTTTTATGTTATTTACCATTCGTTTTTTGGTACACTTGAATATTTATTTTTGTGTCTATGTTGGACAGATTTATTTTCAGGATCTTTCTTTACAACCGGAGCTTAAGCTTCCAAGCGCATCGTTCTCTCCGATTATTGATCCTCATCTTTCACCAGATGGTACTATGCTGTCTTTTGTGAGAGATTATGAATTGCATGTGCTAAACCTCTTGTCCAATGAGTCAAAACAGTTAACATCTGGCGCTAAGGGAGATGTTTTGGTAAGCTTTAATTCTCAGTATCCTTGCTGAGTTGTATTCTTCCTTTCCCCATACTGGATGCTATCTATAACATTATAAAGTCCTGATAAAAAAATATGCTTCATAAAACCATAAGTAATATGTTTGTCTATGTTTATTACACTTTACTATATATTTGGACCATTGGTTCTGTTACTAATAGGTCATTTCCTAAGCCGGTTCACTGATGAACCATCTTCCTATTGGCCGACTGATCAGAAGATTAGGTGTCACCTTGGTCCTTCATTGGTCTTTTCATTTCTTTTTTTTTTTTCTTTCCTGACACCATGCGTTTTTCAGGGAATTTCCAGGATGCTATGTATGTTATATAAATTATAGAAGAAACATCAACCCCCCTCAACAAAAACGGTTAACTTATTTTTTCTTTCAAAGGGAAACCTTAAAATACTGTTTGAACAAATGTTGTCCTTCATTCTAGTTCTGGATATAAAAGATAGCTCTCAATAAGTCAACAGTTGTAATAGCTCTGAATAAAGTCAACAGTTGTAAATTACCAAAATTCCATCAGATCATTGGTTGGCTTCAAAAAAAGAAAAAAGAAATAATAGTTGGTCCACTTTAGCTTTCCCTAATATGCTGTTGTTTTAGGATTTGGAACAGAGAGAGAACCATTGACAACCTGTGTGAATCACTACCTTTTCATTTTGCACAGTGGTGAAAAAAACTGCATGTATGCAATAGAAACGTTTATATTGATCAAGATGATTTGTGTATATGGAACATTGTTCATTCAATGTCTGGATAGTGGGATTTCAGTCAATTTATTGGCCAAATTGAAATGTTTTAAATATGTATCACCTGACCCTCATCAGATAAATTAGAATTCTAAGCTTCTGACATTGTTAAGAATTTTTTCTTCTTAAATATGACATTGGTTTCTTGTTTTGTATTTCAGACGCATGGTCTTGCAGAATATATAGCCCAGGTGAGAGCGTGTTCATTCTCCTTTCCCTCTTCTAGTTTAGGCATTAATTCTGTTAGCATTTTGCATATTCATTTACTGAAATTAAAAATAAAAAGAAGGAAGTTGCTTTCTTGTTTTTGAGAGGGAAAATCAATTTCTCTATATAAATTAAATTAAAATGTATCCTCATGTTATTGGTGTTTGCTGATGTAGGAAGAGATGGACCGGAAGAATGGGTACTGGTGGTCAATGGACAGCAAATTCATTGCATTCACACAAGTTGATTCATCTGGGATACCGCTTTTCAGAATTATGCACCAGGGTAAAAGTACGGTTGGTTCAGATGCACAGGAAGACCATGCTTATCCCTTTCCTGGGTCTTCAAATGTCAAAGTCCGCCTTGGGGTTGTTTCTGCTACCGGAGGCACTGTAACTTGGATGGATCTTCTTTGTGGAGAGCAGGACGTTGGAAACAGTGAAGAGGAATATTTGGCAAGAGTTAATTGGATGCATGGAAATATTCTCACTGCTCAGGTTTTGAACCGGTCTCATTCTAGACTGAAGATCCTCAGGTTTGATGTCAAAACAGGCCAAAGAGAAGAAGTTATATTGGTAGAAGAACAAGATACATGGATCAATCTGCATGATTGCTTCACTCCTTTAGACAAAGGGCTCAATAAATTTTCTGGGGGATTTATCTGGGCTAGTGAAAAAACAGGATTTAAACATCTGTATTTGCACGACACTAATGGGGCTTGCTTGGGACCTATAACTGAAGGTGATTGGATGGTTGAGCAAATTTCTGGCATCAATGAGGCTGCAGGACTTGTATACTTCACTGGAACCCTAGATGGCCCTTTGGAGTCTCACCTTTATTGTGCTAAACTGTTCCCAGATGGGAGCCATTCCCTGGAAGCCCCAGTGAGATTGACTCAGGGCAAAGGAAGGCATTCGGTTGTGCTTGACCATCAGGTGCAGAGATTTGTTGATATTCATGATTCCTTGGATTCTCCACCTAGAATTTCACTTTGCTCATTGCATGATGGAACCTTAATTATGCCCATTTATGAGCAAGAACCATTCAGCATTCCAAGAGTCGAAAGGCTTCAACTAAAGTGTCCCGAGATAGTTGAGATACAAGCAAATGATGGGACTACTTTATATGGGGCACTATATAAACCTGATGCAGCAAGGTTTGGACCTCCACCGTACAAAACCATGGTCAGTGTGTACGGCGGTCCGAGTTTACAGCTTGTCTCTGATTCTTGGGCGCCTACAGTTGATATGAGAGCTCAGTATCTCAGGAGCAAAGGCATCTTGGTATGGAAGGTCAGTATCCACCAAATGAACGCCTTAGTTTCCATCTCTCATAAATATCTAATTTAATAATTTAATTAGTTCTCTTTTTTACCCTTGAAGTTGCTTCCATATGCACCCTAATCATGTGAGTCTGAGACCCCATAATTCTCTCAGCATTGTCCATTAAATCACTTAGAATATGATACTAATTGTGCTATCTAATGCCCAATTGTGCATCTGATACTGTAGAATTTAGCTTATTTTCACTTGAATATTACATTTACCGGTATACTACCGAAGGCTGTGTTGCCTAGCAGTATCTCCTCTACCTCCCAAAGGGGATGGTGAGGGTTGAGTACTGGCAGGGGACAAATGGGTGCGTGAGTTTCTTACCAATGAAAAAATATATATATATTACATTTACCGGCATACTTTATACCCTTCAAAAGAAGGGGAAAAGAGTATATCATTCTGACTCCTATACCTTTTACAGCTGGATAACAGAGGATCTGATCGTCGTGGATTGAAGTTTGAAGGCTTCTGCAAACGAAGTTTTGGCCTTCTTGATGCTGAGGATCAGCGGACTGGAGCTGAATGGCTCATCAAACAAGGCTTAGCAAAAGTTGGCCATATTGGAGTGTACGGGTGGAGCTATGGCGGATATCTTTCCGCCATGACATTAGCCAGGTTTCCTGATGTCTTTAGTTGTGCTGTTTCTGGTGCTCCCGTCACATCGTGGGACGGGTACGACACATTTTACACTGAGAAGTATATGGGATTGCCTTCTGACAACGAAGAAGGTTACAAGTTCGGTTCCGTGTTGAACCATGTGGACAAGATCAAAGGGAAATTATTACTCGTGCATGGCATGATTGATGAGAATGTGCATTTTAGGCACACTGCTAGGCTTGTAAACGCGTTCGTGGAAGCTGGAAAGCCTTATGAGTTATTGATCTTTCCCGATGAACGTCACATGCCTCGCCAGCTAAAGGACCGAAAATATATGGAAGAGAGGATTTGGGAATTCATAGAGAGAAATCTGTGAATGACCGACCATTAGCTGCTGTTGTCTATTTAGATCATCTCCGTTGTTATTTTTGTTAGGTTGAAGGAGATTTTGGGGCTCATATTTCTTTGGGCCTGAGTATTAATTAATTATTCCTCTCCATAAAGAGAGTAGTGCAATGTTTTGCTTGTAGTTAAGCGACTGTCATTCATCATAGAGGAATTTTCCTTTGTACCATGAAATCTCCCCAATGTACTGGAAATATTTTGTCACTGTGTTTATGCATTTGATGTTATGTCTCAAGGCTCTCCTAAACCCTAGAAATTTCAACTGAATTCATTTTTATCTCTATAGGATTCTCATAACGAGAATGTATTCATGTAGCCGACTTCGAGTTTGTTGCTCTATTTAGGACCTGATCCTCTCCTGTGCACAACACGAATTACGCCTCACGAGTTATGACTCACATGAAGTGATCTCTACCTTTCATCTGTGCACGACTACGTGTTGTGTATGGAATAAAATTGATGATGACACCGGAGAAAAAGGGTCATTGGTGTACTTTTATATATGTGTGTGTGTGTATATATACATATAAGTTTGAAAAAACAATAAGAAGGAAGAGGAGTTGAGAAGAAATTTGAAACACATTCTTCAAAGCATTACCTTTTTAATGGTTGTCTCCTAAAGGGTGGGTAATGCAAGTTTGACAATGATGGCCTAGGCATCTGTGGCTTGATGGTAGGGGCATGATGTGTACAATACATTGTTCATTTACTTTTCTGCCCTTCGTATGCATTGCTTGTGTTTGGTTTTATTACCTGATTCAATGGTCTGAACTCTGAAGCATCCATACTCCCCACTATAAAGTTTTTTATAGAAGTATGAGAAAATGGTTCTTTATTTTATTGAACTACTCAAGTTCAGCTCATCTACTCATGAGGTGCGATGCAATCATTAGAATGGTCATTTTCAAATTTATGTTACGACAAGTACATTCTCAAATTTATGTTAAGGAAGCCACATGTTTTTTTTGTGGTGAGTCTTATTACTACTGTAACAATATTTAATAAATTGATAATATTATATTATTACCATAATCGATTCAATTAAATTTTTTTTCACCTTCTTTTATTTTAGACTACGCTGTTACTTTTTCAATTTCTTTTTTTCTTTTTTTATTTTCAAAAAATTACACAATTATGCCCTTATGTTAGTGTGAAAAAGTAGGTGTCTCCTAGAGCATTCTTGATCTGATAAGTGAGGGTGTCCACTTCATAATTAGAGCATTCCTTCTCGACTTTTCCTTTGTATGAATATATATATATTTTTCTTTTCATACACAAACCTAATTATCAAGAGGTCGTTGTAATTTTAAAAACATAAAGGCGCCCTTTAAAAAATAGTTCTAAAATTTTAATTTAACCTTTAAAAAATAATTAATTTGTAAATAGTGCTGCTAAAATTTATTGCGCGTCCCAAACAAATAAAAGTTTTCAACTTGTACCCTTTTTAATCATATTTTGAAAGTCCAAATACCGTAAAACAAAAATTTAAGTTCATTATAAATAGTCATTACAGCAACACATCGGTTTTTCCTTTACAGAAAAATTTAAGTTCATTATTAATATAATCTTTACCACAGCACATCGTCATTTCCTTCACATGTATAATATTCACTATGTTAATTCAAGAGAGAAAAATGAGAAGAATACATTTAATAAAAATGAATTAACCTTTTTTTGTCAAATGTTTTTTAAAATGATGTTTACACAAAAAAAAAATAAAAAATAAAAAATAAAAAAGGAAGAAGAAGAAGAAGAAATCTCTAGAATTATATATCAATCTCCATTGACGGATCCTAAGAAATTGGGAAGGAAGATAAACTAAAGTATTGTGAGGAGGTTAACAGCAATATTATATATGTTAATACTTTTAATAGTCCCTGCTAAATAACAAATTCTTGACAACTTGTATAAGTTATTAAAGTAGTAATTATCTTGTTTATATAAGTTATTAAAGTAATAATCTTGTTTACTTAAAATTATTATTATTTTTTAAATATTTAATCTGAATAATAATGATAATCTTTCTAGAAGTGGAATCAAAATACTCAAATTTTTTTTTTTTTCTTTCAAAACTAAAACAATTGATGAAGAAAAAAAAAATTGATTCTCTAACAATGATATTTTTGATATATACAATGACTAATATTTAAACAAAATTATTTTACAATTAATTAAAAATAATAATTAATTTTAATTACACAGTACAAAATCTTGCTCCTCATAAATGAGTTATAAGAAAAAATATACACCAAGCCGAAGCCCCCAATTCCTTTACTAACACATAAGGGATGATGAAGAATGTTCGGCCATCCCTCCTTTAAGGTTTTTCGTACATAACTACAATAATGTGAAGATTTTCCGAGTAAGTGTCGAAGTATGGAAAATGAAAGTGTAAGAATCGAACGGTCAAATGTAATATTTCATACAAGGCAAATGAAATTATGCCAACCTTTGGAAATTAATAATTGTTAAACTGTTAGATTAATTATTTGATTAAAAAATGGAGATAACTTTATTTTTCAAGATCTTTTTTAACTTTATACAGATAACTCAATTATTAAATTGGAAAGTGCAGCTTCATTGAATTTGGATCAGTTTCAGTGATCAGTTGAAAGTCATACAGGAATCAGCTTCCCGAAACCTTGTCCCCGAAATCGAATTTAATTTCCTAGATTTCGACTTTCAGATTGAGTTGCTTAAGTATTAATTGTTGATTCACCACAGTCAAATCCTAGTTATTTTTCTCTTTCTGACACTATTTGGTTGATTCCCTAATCCTACCATTGGTACACCGATGTCACCTTGTGTTAGAAAGTGAAATAATACATTTAAATTATCAGTAAAAGAAAAATATACACTACCTCACTTCACTTCCAGTGATTTGTTACTCACTCATAGAATTGTGAATTTCCCCCTCTAAGATATAATGAAACCCTGACCTTATATATTGGCAATTTTTCTTTCTAACGGACAGTCATGATATATTAATTAATATCAACTCTTTAGAACTCTCCCATAAATATTATAGATAGTTACAAAGTTTACATAATTCCTTCATTTTCTAGAAATTTTTAGGCTCTACAAAAAGTCTACAAGCTTTCTTTTCAACTCTTTTTATAATATTTCTACAAGAAGTACTATAAGTTATATTAGTAGATGTGGAGAATCAAAACCTGACACTTTAAAATTCACCGCTAATTTACTGAACTATCTACGTATTTGCCCCTACAATCTACATAAAAAGCTATCTCAACTCAGTCCCACAAATAAAAAGCCTATTTCTATTATAACCCACAAAACGGGACAACTTAATTCCAAATTTATCCCACAAATAAAAATTTCTTCCAAACTCTACCCCACATTGGAGTCTGGAAGATTCCGGATACCCGACAATAGAGGGAGAGAAGGCAAGGTAGACATGACCTGCAAAATTTTCAAACTTTCGTTTACGGACCCAAAAATAACTATTTTGTAAATAGTCCCCAAAATTCATTAGAAAAAAAAAAAAAAAATTGTTTCCTCCAAATATTTTTCAAAACTCTCGTTTATTTGTCTAAAAAATAGTGAATTTTTAAATAAATATAATTTGTATCTCCTCGAAACTCGTAGAATTTTATTTTTAGCATTTTAAGGTGCAAATCATGTGAAATAAAAATATAAGTTCATTATTATAGTAGTTTTTACAGTAATATATCATTATTCTATTTACATAAATACATGTACAATATCCATTATACGAATTCAGGGGAGAAAAAGGAAAAAAATACACTAATATCTCCTCACCTGTACTAAAAATACATTGAACTCTCTTTGTTAGATGGTACTTGCAAGAAAAGTATCTAAAATCACGTGTTAATATTTTTTTTTGACTCTTCTTAAGAGCATTGGGAAGAAGGAAAAACTAAATTGGTATAAGATCAAGATGACAAAAGTGCCAACAACAACAATGGTATGCTAATATTTTTAGTAGCAAATTTTTGTATATATGTTATTAATTCTTTGAAAAATCGAAATGGATGCAGAAATTAATTCTGTAACAATGTTTTTATCTACCGCTCCTATTTTGATATGTTGTAGCTTATCATTTTCAATATTCTATATATATATTTCTCATATCAATTTTCATCTCTACTTATCTATGTTCTATTTTTCTTATTTTTGGAATTATATTTATCTCAATATATATTATAAAAAAATTATATTATTGATTTTTCATAATTCTTTTACATATTTTAGTACATCCCAATCCATGCTAATTAATTGATTTTTAACTTACCGATCCAAGATAAGAGGATCATGAATTTCTACCAAAAATTAAAGATCCAAGAGGGGGTCTCTAAACCCTAAATTGTCGATAGCTCTTGAGGGTTTCAAGGGATATGCACCCTAGCATCGTGCACCTTTTACAGGTACAATGACTCTAGGGCAAAAACTTTTAATGGATCTTAGGGTTTTGTTTATGAGAGAGGATGTGATTAGTGGTTCAAGGCACTAGTGTGCTTGTGATGACTTTATACTACTATATATATATATATATATATATATATATATATATAATTTTCTTGTTATGATTAAATAATAAAATGCCATCATTTATTCATAGACCTTGGCAAATTGGACATGCAATCTACAGACTACTAGGACGAGTGTCACTTTTTGTTTCCCTCTTGACAAGAAAAGAATGATCACTTTTGTTATTATATTTTTAGGACAAATTTTAGGAAATTAACATGGGTTTCAATTAGTATGACTAAATAAATATTTAGCAAAGAGTAATATATATATATATATATATATATATATATATATATATATATATATATATATATATATCGTATTTGGGAATATTGATTCGGACACTGTGGTTCATTGTCACGTACTTTGATTTTCTGAGCTAAATTTAATTAAACTTTATTCAAATTCAATTTCGAACACCAATTCCGTAGTGCCAAACATATCAATAATTGTAAAACCCTTAAATTTCGTATATTATATTTTATTATTTATTATTTATTATTTGAATGTTAAATTAAAGATATTAGAGTTTTTAAAATTTAAATTTCAAAAAAAAAAAAAAAGAATCCTAAACTATCTCAACCACAGTTATAATTATCTTTTATAACTCATGCGTATCAGTTCTATAGAGATATTATTTGTAAAACAAAAAAAAAAAAAAAAAAGAAAGAAAAGAAGAGAGAAGCGTGAGATATTGAGAGTGATATTTAAAGTTGATGT